ACTATATCCATACAGCAATGAGATCGATATAGTGGCTCAAAGTCTGAGTGAGCCCGAGGACCGCGAAGATGCAGAAGACCTCGTGATGTGGTTTGAGAAGACGGTACAGCGTTACCACATGCTAAGAAGGAGATGGAAACATCCAAATGCATTTCACAATCACCAACTAAAGCAAGCCTTGCTGAACAAGTTATGCGCACCTCTTCAAGCTGAAGCCATGAGATCGGACTGGCGTCAATGGGACCTAGATCGCTTTATCCAATTTGTACTAAAGTGTAACGATGACCTAGCAAGACGTCAACGCCGAAGAGGTCCAAAAATTGGATTGGTTGCTGCTGTACCAGTCAGAGATATGCCGATGCAAGTTGGAAATAATACTGTGCGTTCATCAGTGAGAAGCGCCATCAGTCGGTTCAACCAACATGATCCGAATCAATTTTATGAAGCTGGGGAGATACCAGAAACGCCTCGCACAAATGTCCTTGAGAAGAACCCGATAACGTATCCATGCCGCTGGTGTAAGTCGCCACAACATGGATCACGAGATTGCCCCACGAAGCCAACGTGTAAGGTGTGCGGGAAGAAAGGACACGACGAGAGTAGCTGCTACCGGGTGACTAGACAAGGAAAATTGGCTACTCAACAAATCACATTCACAAACACGCCTCAAGGCATGGTCGTTAATATGAAGGAAGACAGCTCTAACCTGGCTGTTTTGGAAGGCTTATCGAAGTACTTCAATGATGCGTGTGAACGCGTCAAAGAGGCAAAGTCGAAAGCCGCCGCTAGGAAAGCTGAAACTGCTACCGAAAACTCGAGATTAGCGGGAGCAGTAAACGTGACGACTGACGAAGAAAGTGGTGGTCTCTACGGAAAGTTCTTGATTGGTAACACGGACATAGTTTGTTTGGTGGATCCTGGTGCTGATAAAAACATCATGAATTGGAAGACATTAGAGAATCTACCTATAGAATATAAGTGTCAATGGAAGCCGATCGAAGAAGGACAAATGACCTTGAACTTTGTCCAAGGATCATGTGCTGTTACCGGATCGATCGAACTACCGGTTACCTCTCCACTTGGAAATGTCGAAATGGAGTTCTACATAGTCAAGGAAGCTCGACTCAACATACTCGGCAACCCTTGGATGAGAGCGTTAAAAGCTGCAGTATGCTTTAAGGAAGATGAAGTCCGAAATGAAGTAGGAAAGCTATCTTTATTCACCAAGGATATCGTACCCTACTCGGATGCATTCAGCGTCACTACGAAGGTGGTAGATGTCAATGTCATGGCTGACCTACAACAGAACTTCGGTAAACAATTAACTGATGAAGTCAAATCTAATATCATTACTGTACTGGAACGATACTCTGAAGTCTGGCAGACAACGAGAGTCGCTTGTTCTAAAAACTTCATCTACCGAATTGACACTGGGGATGCAAGCCCTATAGTCGAACCACATCGACATTTTGCACCGAAGACCCTCGAAGAGTTGAAACGACTGACCCGTGATCTACTTCAAGCCGGAGCGATAAGAAAGTCCAATTCAAATTGGCTCTCACAACCGGTAATTGTGTCAAA